GATTGTTAATAATTTACTAAAAAAACATTTTTACAATTTATGTGGTTTTATATTATATTTTTATAAAATTTTAGTTTTTGGATCTGCTTAATACTATTACCTTCCATATAAGTAAGTTGAGAGCGTACTGAGCTCCGTTGTATTGCGAGAAGGTAGTGTAGGCTGCACCTACGCTGTATTGTGTGTTCGTCTGAACAAAACCACTGCAGAGGAGATTGTAGCATCCTGTCGTTTGGTATCCATCTCTCTAATATATTTCCATAAATAAAGAAAGAAAATAAATCTTAGTTTGAAAACTAAAACACAGTTTGAATGTTTAATTAGAGTGGTAATATATTAGTGTTTTCGGCTTGTGAACCCTCTAAAATATTTCAGTAAATTATTACAATCTTTTATTAGGATGAAAAATGGGAACTTACCGTCCAGTAAATAAATAATGTCGGATTACTACCACCATATAAATATGGATAAACCTATAAATTAAGGCAAACAAAAGTAGTGTTAATTAAGAATTTTTTGTGTATGATTCTTAGTATGATTCTTAATTAACACAAAAATGAACGACCAAAGAAGCACAAGACCTGCCAACCAGCTTCAATGGTGTTAAGACTACCGCCATCTCCAGATACAAGCCAAGTTTGAGCCAAGCTAAACTCGTTGGTAGCTACAGATGGTTTCCATATATTTAACGAGGCTTTTGATCCAAAAAAATTTCCACCCCTCACACCCGCTATCGCGTACTACAGCGGCTCCAAATAAAGAAAACCATATTAGAAATATATCATGCCGAAAGTCTAAACTTTTACAAATACTTAGATATTTCTATTAGTTTTGAAACGGAAACAGATAAGAAATATATCTATCTAGACGTAGGAATCACATGCATCACAAAAGTCCAATATATAAAAGGTGCCTACTTTGAAGTGTAACAAAACCACAAGAGAGTAATTATACAAATGTCAATGCATAAAAGGTGCACCTCATGGACATATTGATCTGCGGATGTAACTTCAAGGATGCCTGGGGGAGTCTTTTTACCAAAACTCTCAATGGATTTTGCTCGTAAGATATCTTCTTTCTTTACTCTTCTTATTGGAATAGTGTTGTCCGGGCAGTACTCTCCATTCTTATGCCACACCTGAGTTATAGCCTCTGCCTTTTTCTTGGTGTACGCAGAATCACTTTCTGGTATAAAACTTGGTCTCATCTAGCACAAAAAAAATCTCGTTGTAGCGATTCAACACAATCATAAATAAATAAATGAGTGACTGAGAATGAAAGCTAACCTGGATGGTATGGTTTTTAAGCAGCGGATGGTCAAAAGCTGGTTGACTAGTTAATGGAACACAATCTATTATATCTCCATCTTCACTCTGTAAAAAAGGAATGATTAAGCCGAAAAATTAATCTCAAAATGTTTTGTCCGCGAATATTCAAAGCATGAAGTTTATGCATATGGATTTTGTATAACGTACCTCAATGGATTTAAGAGGAGGCTTGTTGAGTTGCTTCAAAAGCTGTTGTACTTTGATTTCCTGGCCATCATTGAACTCTCTTCCATAGATGCAGTGAGACATTATCACTAGTGTCACCATCAGAGCTACCGTGAAACTGACCATTCCCATTATGGTTGATTATAATCCTTGTCTAACTTAGCTAGTATAGTACTCTTTGGAAGTTTTTGTTTTCCTTGATCAACTACACTTAGGAATTTATATATAGGAGTAGATGCTCATATATTCCAAAAATTAAGAAACCAGAGCTCATAATTAATTATGATAGATTTGTCACTGGTTACAACAATATTATAGTACTATGAATAAATTAAAATTGACCCATGACTTGAACATCACTGCTCATAATATTAATGTTCCGTATAATGACAATTTAAACAGAACGTGTAGTTTGGGCAAAACATTCTGAGTCTGACCTATTCTTGCATGGCTACTGAGTGATTAGTGAAGAG